TTTTTGGTTTATTTTTAGGTATATAATCATTGACAATTCAGCTTGTACTTATGAAATACCGGAAAATGCGAATGTTGAGTGTGATCATAACAGCTTTTGCTCTACAAACAGCACATTCTGCCCAAGTAACTTTGCATGCACAACAACTAGCCTATCCGAATCAGATATTTACTTTTGTGTGTATCACAAGTCTAACAGATACAGAGGAGGATGAAAATTACAACATTAAATGGGAAAAGAACAATGAACTTATTGCAGTAAATAACACAGTGGTAAAGTACAGTGGCGAGATTTCGAGTTTCAGATTCCCTACCCAGCATCAACTAATAATACACAATGTTAGTGAAGAAGACAGGGGAATGTACACATGCATCTTAGAGTTCACATCTTCACACCTTCCTTCCATAAATGCATCTAAAAGTATACTTGTTAGTGGTTACATGCCCAAACCATTCTGCACACAGCCTTCAAGAAATGATACAGTTGGAGGACAGATTGTGCTGGTGTGTTCAACTGAACCAAGTCAACCTCGAGTCACTCTACAGCTTCTTAATAGTACAGGTGGTGTCTTAGCAAAGGTGGACCAAGCAGGTTATATTGGAAGCTTCAAATTGGAATACCAAATTGATGTTGATGAGATTGAAGATGGTCAGTTTAGGTGCAGAACCGGTTTCACATCTCAAAATGCTGAAAATAAGGAATGTCTAATTCGATTTACAGATACTTCAACAATTGAAACTCCAACAATTGAAACTTCAACAATTGAAACTTCAAATGAAAATTCAACAATACAAACTTCAACAATCCACACTTCATCAATTCAAACTACAGATGTAATACAGACAACAAACAATCAGAAGAGAAGGAGAACGTCTGCTGTCCAGTCAGGAATAACGAAAGCACCGAAAAATGGAGAAAGTAGATTAGTTGTCAGCAACCTGGTCGTTACTGCTGTTCTATTTTCAGTACTACTCACTATCTGAATAACAAAAAATACATCGAATTACTCACTAGTATGTATTTAAAAAAAGGGCGATGCAGTGTTTTACAAAGTTATTCAAGAAAATGATGCTTTACTAATCTTATTGTGCTTTATTTGTACAATCCGAAGTGAATTTTATCAAAAATATTTAATATTCGTAAATGTATCCTTTTTTACTGATTGTGTATTGTAAGAATGAAGTGACGACAATAGATTGTGACATTATGGTTATCAGTATATCAATAGCATTAAATTAATCCTCTAAATCTGTGTAAAATCTCATTAATGGTTCTGGATGACATTTCTAAATGCTCCGGGTACGTTCCGCTACTTAAAACACAATTGTTGTTTATCCTAAAAAATCACTAACAGCCAAAGTAGAGCAAATAATATCATAACGTGCATGATAAACGAAAACGTGCAAAAATATGGGATGGTCCCGGGTTTCGGTCTTCAATTTGAGGGTTAGTTTTGTGTTTGAGATACTTACTAGAGTATTGTACTGTACTTTTTCTCCGACTCTTCATTGTTTGAATCTTTGATTACACAATTCCCGATTATGTAGGCCTATGTCTGGATTAAGACATGTCAAGTCAAAATAATGTCTCATTGATAGGCCTACTGTATAATAATATTCAGTGATTGCCAAGAATGTAGGGGTATGTCAAACTCGTTTCCTTGTTAAAGGAAGAATGCATGTAGACAAGCGTACGGTACAGTACATCCTTTTGAACAATGGTTCCTGTCTTAAAGCTTTCTTTGAAATCATGACCTCACTTGACATTAATGTGCATCAGTGGGTCAAGGTAATTCATATTCGTTTATAAAATCCAGGCCTTAGATTGTTTTATTTCTCTGATAATTGATTACTTATTTTCATAATTGATATTTACAGTGGTCTGATCAATCATAGGCTATTGTCAAAAGAAAAGGTGCCTCTGTTTTTAAATATTGGCCTATTAAGATACTAATAAATTAATTTGCTTTCTTTTTTGTCTTTGTCTGTTAGAAGGGACAAATTAATTTTTTTTTTTGCTTTAAAGTTCTGGTGGGTTTTTTAGACTGTACAGCACGGATCATTGACATCAATACCCGACAGCGATCGTTGTGCTTCCGTCTAGCTTCGAGACCTAAGCCATTTTTCCACTCGGTAGCCACCAGGTTGCCTCGTGTCTGGGACCAGCTTCCTAGATCGTTAACTGATGCCCATCCTCTTTAAAGGTTAAAAGTTATTTTGATTTACTGTAATTTAATTATTTTGTTTTTCCATTTGTGTTATCTTGTGTAATGTTAGTGTGTGTTGCTGAATTTGGGTCAACCGGCTTACCCTAATTTCATTTTTTGTAACTTTCTGTTATGTACATAATGTTGTTTAATTAATTTCTAACGACTGCACTTTCTGAACTTACATTTCTGTTTTTGTTTTTACAATTTAATATCCAGGGGCGGATCAAGTAGGGGGCACAAGGGAACATGCCCCCCCCCCAGTTTTAAAACTAAATTTTTAAAATTTCAATGCAATCAAGGTTATGTGCTACTCAACTATTCTGAAATTCTTGTGCCCCACTGTTTGAAAAATTCTGGATCCGCCCCTGATATCACACCTTTTGAAAAAAGACAAATGTACTTTCTTCTTAAATTTATTTGCGTATTGTCCAATCTTCTGATCATTGGCTTAACTTTTTCCTTCTCCTGTCAGAATAATGGCTGTCTCTTCGTAAAAACCGTCAATCAACTATTTCCGATTCAAAGCAAAAATGTCTGAATTTAAAGCTCTCCCCTTCCTTATTCACTGTCCCTAAGACACATTTTAAACATTTACCCATCCTCTGCCACAACTTCCGATATTAAACAAGCCATAATTTAATTTAATTTTAACAACAATTTAATTGGTCCATTAATTTAAAAAATTATTTTATTTAATAATTGTGTTATTATCTTGTTCTGTATTTATTGTATATATAACAATTGTGAATATTTATTGTTGATGCGGATAATTGCCCTTGGTGGCATTCGTAGGTAATACAATTGAATTGAATAAAAGACCGAATAAATAATGAAACGAAATAATGTAATTAAATTGTGAAATATTCAAACCATTTTAATTTTACTTTTTTCCTGTTGAATACCGTATCTACTTACCGTACAGCACACTATAAGAAGACAAACGGAGCCATTGGATTCGCAGGCAATTATCTTAAACGCCAAGCTCCAGCAACAAACCACGACATTAAGCATTTGGAAAACTGGACTAGATCGTGGCACAACGTTAAAACTCAAATTTCAGTCAAATAGTCTTTAGATCACACGACATAATAGAGTTTTCGGGAGATTTGGCCGATGGGGCTTCAACCCACGACACTCGCGTTATTAGCACGAAGCTCTGCCGACTGAGCTAACCGGCCACACGTTGCTCATAAAATGGTACAAAAAGCACACATAGGCCTACAATTTGTTGCTAAATTGCTTACAAAACTTTACGTATGTATTCAAAGGTATAGGACATGGAAACTTAAATGTCTCTGAAACTTACCCTTCAAGCAGACACAAAAACTAAAGGAATCGCCCATAAACGTCCAGTTTGCATTATTCGGTTTCATGGCAGAAGATGCACTCAAATGAGTGTGTTCATTGTTTAAGACATTTATTTAATTAATGGTATGTTCATATGATTTTATCACATGCCTAATAATATATTTGTTGTATGTGCGCTATATTTGTTTTTAATTGTGTCCACACTTTGGTCATCCCTCATTTTAAAAGTAATTCTGATTAAGATTCTTTCGTGTTCATTCTTAGACATTTGTTTAATTAATGATTGTATAGCCTATCATCTATATTATTATTTCTTGCCCAACTGTTATTGTATATTTATTTTTAAATATGTCCTTCGTTTGGCCATCCGATTGTTTAAAAGTCGATTATGATTTAAAGATAGTTCCAGACGAAAAAAAAGTTATTACCAAATCAACATGAGTGTTATCGATAATATATAAAAAATATAGGAAGTACTATACTGTACTATACAGTAAGTAGTATTTTTTGACGAATGCATGACAAGGCAGCTGTCAGAGTTCCCTGAAGACAGCAAAGTCGAGTAAATTGCTACAAGTTAAGTTACATGTTGAATTTTCAGTACTCAGCGGGCGTCGGTGGTGTATAGTGATTAACATAGTTGCCCGGGTCCGATTCCCGGCCGACGCACATTTCTTTTGATTTTTTTTTTCTTGTTTTAAAATTTTAAAAATATATTTTATATTTAAAATAAAATAAAAAAATTAATTGCCAAAAAACTTCTTTCCTACCAGCACAGTCCCTCTTCCCTTACGATTTTCCACATGGGTAACTAAAGTATTTTAGACACTAAAATTGATTCAACTAACAGTTAAATCAATACGATTTTATTTAACGGACAGCAACACCATCTCATCATCCAGATCACCACAAGGCAGGGAAAGAGGGTTATTCTGTCAATTACACATAAATCGAGTCTCATTATTAAATTGTTAAATTATTTGGGTTTCTTAGGCGGCTCAAGGTTTTCAACCAAATTTGTTGATTTAAACGAAGCAGCGCAGGGTAGTTGATAAATACAACGGGCTCAGTCGAGGGGGAGTGGCTTGTATATGGTTCCTACCAGTCTCTTAATAAATAAGTACTGTATAAATAATAATAAGTCAAATTTGATATAGCGCAAAATGCTGGACGCCAATAAACACTAGAATCTATGCCTAAATAACCTATGCTTGTAAAGTGTACGCGAGGGCGTAACGTCTTTCCGAAAGATGATGCGATGTCAACAAAGCTGCATTGTATGTGATAAAAACAAGCAAAACACTGCTTGGCCGATATGGGGCTCGAACCCATGACATTCGCGTTATTAGCACGACGCTCTGCCGACTGAGCTAACCGGCCAATCGTTGAAGAAAACTTGGCACAAAAATCACACATACCTGTTGATAAATTACCTACGTACTTAAGAAAAATTTTTACGAGGTGTTCAAAAGTATAGTACCGGTACTGTACTCGGAAATTTGAAAAATGTCTCTGAAACTTACCTTTCGAGTATAAATAAAACCTAATAGAATCGCACCATCATCGCACATAAACGCCCAGTTTGTATTCTTCGGTTTCATGGCAGAAGTATGCAGTCAAATGAGTGTGTTCATTGTTTAAGACATTTGTTTGCTTTCTGGGGCAATAAACCACTGCAAAACGGCACGGCAAAAAACCAAAATGGCAAGACTTTTTGACCAGAACGGCAATGGACCAAAGCGGCAATAAGTCTTAACGACAAGACCAACTATAAAAGTAAACATTTAAATAAGTAAAACTTTAAAATACAGACAAAATGAGGCTAAACAATTTTTATAAATTTGAAAACGCGAAATAATAAACCAACTATAAACTTGAACGTGTACAACGATTAATAATAATAATAATAATAATAATAATAATAATAATAATAATAATAATAATAATAATAGACCTAATAATAATAATATGCCTAATAATAATAATAATAATAATAATAATAATAATAATAAATAAATAAATAAATAAATAAAACTTTAAAATATAGACAAAATGAAGCATCTATAATTCGTCATAAATGTGTAATAAATATTTATAAGAAGCGCGATTAAACATTAAAAGTGGGAAAAAGAGCCCATGGCAATATTCGATTTGCCTTAGGTGTCGGGACAATATTCAAAACGATTCAGAAAATTATGCGGCTTGACACTGATTTTGTTCCTTTGCCGTTTTGGTCTATTCCTATTGCCGTTTTGGACGGTACTTGTCATTGCCGTTTTGGTCTGTTGTCGTTTTGGTACTTATCATTGCCGTTTTTAGGTTCATTCCGTTCTGGTTATTGACGTTTTGGTCATTGCCGTTTTAGTTTATTGCCGTTTCGACCTGCTAAAGTTTAATTAATGGTATTTCATATATTTATATATTTGTTATATGTGTGCGATTTGTTTTTAAATATGTCACCCTTTTGGCCATCCCTCTGTTTAAAAGTACAGTAATTCTGATTAGGCCTAGTTTAAGATTCTTCGGGGAGAAATAAAAGTTATTCGTGTTTGTTCTTACACATTTGTTTAACTAAGGGTTTATATCATATATTGATTAGGCCCTATTATTATATCTTCCCTAGCTGTTATTGTATGTTTGGTTTTTTTTTTAAATATTCCCTTTGCCCATCGCATTGTATAAAAGTAGAATTCTGATTAAACTATAGTTCCAGGCAAAATAAAAGTTATTCGTAAATAACTTAAAATTAAAACGAGAAAACTTATATAGGCCTATAAATAAATAAATAAATATATATATATATATATAAAAGGGTGGCTGAATCTTCTAAATAAGGAGGTAAAGGGTAGGCCTATTCCTTAAAATCTATAGCCAAATATCAACAACATGAGTGTTACATCGATAATTAAACAAAAATATAGGAAGTGCAATAGTAAGTAGTACTTTTTGACGAATGCAATGACAAGGCAGCTGTCTGAGTTTCCTGGAGACAGCAAAGTATATCAATAAACAGCGGGCGTCGGTGGTGTAGTGGTTAACATAGTTGCCTTCCAAGCAATTGTCCCGGGTTCGATTCCCGGCCGACGCATAAATCGAGTCTCCTTATTAAATTTGTTCAAGTACTCTTTTTTGGGGTTTCTAGGTGGCTCGGTGGATCAAGGTTTTCAACCCAATTTGTTGATTTCAACGAATAACATCCGAATCAGCGCAGGGTAGTTGTTAAATACAACGGGTTCAGCCGAGGGGGATGGCTTGTATATGGTTCCTACCAGTCTCTTAATAAATAAGTATAAATAATAATAAAATTAAATTTGATGATATAGTGCAAAATGCTGGACGCCTCTAAACGCTAGAATCCATGACTAAATAACCTATTTAGTCATGGAAAGTGTACGCGAGGGCGTACGGTAACGTCTTTTCGAAAGAGTTGTCAACAAAGCTGCATTGTATGTGAAAAAAACAAAGCAAAAAACTGCTTGGCCGTTATGGGGCTCGAACCCATGACATTCGCGTTATTAGCACGACGCTCTGCCGACTGAGCTAACCGGCCATCCGTTCAAAAAAAAAAGTGACACAAAAATTACACATACCTGTTGCTAAATTACTTACGAAAATCTTTACGAGGTGTTCAAAAGTATAGGACTCGGAAATTTGAAAAATGTCTCTGAAACTTACCTTTCGAGAATAAAAGAAAAACTAATGGAATCGCACCATGATCGCACATAAACGTCCAGTTTGTATTATTCGGTTTCATGGCAGAAGTATGCAGTCAAATGAGTGTGTTCATTGTTTAAGACATTTGTTTAATTGCTTCTGGGGCAATAAACCACTGCAAAACGGCACGGCAAAAAACCAAAATGGCAAGACTTTTTGACCAGAACGGCAATGGACCAAAGCGGCAGTAAGTCTTAACGACAAGACCAACTATAAAGTAAACATTTAAATAAGTAAAATTTAAAATACACAGAAAAGGAGGCTAAACAATTTGTCATAAAATTAAAAAAGCGAAATAATAAACCAAGTATAATCTTGAAAGTGTACAACGATTAATATTAATAATAATAATAATAATTATAATTATAATAATAATAAATAAATAAATAAGTAAAACTTTAAAATATAGACAAAATGAAGCATCTAAATAATTCGTCATAAATGTGTAATAAATAGGGGGGAAAACGCGATTAAACATTAAAAGTGGAAAAAAGAGCCTATGGTAATATTCGATTTGCCTTAGCTGTCGGGACAGTATTCAAAACGATTCAGAAAATTATGCGGCTTGACAGCGATTTTGATTCATTTTGTTCCTTTGCCGTTTTGGTCTACTCCTATTGCCGTTTTGGACGGTACTTATCATTGCCGTTTTGGTCTGTTGCCGTTTTGGTACTTATCATTGCCGTTTTTAGGTTCATTCCGTTCTGGTTATTGACGTTTTGGTTATTGCCGTTTTGGTTTATTGCCGTTTCGAGCTGCTACAGTTTAATTAATGGTATTTCATATATTTGTTATATGTGTGCTATTTGTTTTTAAATATGTCCAC